TGTTCAACTTTGTATCGTGATTTTATATTCTCATATTTCATTCGTTTCGGACTAGAACTACCGGCGGCTAATTTTTTTGATAAAAAAAATTTTATCAAAGAAATTAAACTATAATATTATTAAATATAGTATTATATTAAATGGGAGATATAATATAGAAATTTAATAGAAAATATAAATATAAATGTTTCCTATCAAAATATTTGCATGAAAAAGTAATCAATCTCGAGTTCTGAAAAAAAAAACAGTCTGAGATAAGAGTAGAATGAAATAATTATTTCGGATGAAATATTTCTAGTTACATGCTGGATGAATGTATAGGAAAAACCAGGCGAACTGAAACTAAAATATTTATAATATTATAATATTAGGAATGGGGAAATATTTATAATACAATGAAGGGCAGGAATTTTTTCCAAATCTACCAAACTACTCTGAAGTAATTATAAATTAGTCATTTGATTGTCCCAGTATTAAAACTAACATATAATTATTATAACGTATATGTAATTTTCCTCAAATATTCTAAATATTATTCGTATTTATTCTGGCAGCACGGTTATTAAAAATGACAAAAAAGTATGCAAAACGGGTCACGGGCTAAAAAATAGTGTATAACATTTTATAAGGCAAATTTCAAACAGACACGAGGAACGTAGAGAACATCACTGACATCTAGAAAAAACTCTGTTTCACCGAATATAATATTCACGCACGTCTACAGAAAATTTGTTTCGGCTTGAGGATTCAACCGATTTTGCGCGTTAGTTATATAGTAACCATGCTCCCTTCTCTGTTGACTCAGCGTAGCCTTGTTATTGTTGCTCGTGACAAACATTGTACGTACATCTGCAGACACATACGTGTTTTTGTTCGCAGTGCCTCCAAATATAGAGGACTACCAGTCCTCGTCAGACATCATTGTGCGAGAAGGGGCGAACGTGACTCTAACGTGCAAAGCGACTGGCAGCCCCAAACCAGCCATAAGTTGGAAGAGAGACGACGGTTCGAAGATCTCGATTAACAAAACGTTCTCTGGTAAGTACGCATCATTATTATACTGTCGAACTAGTATTACCACGATGTACCTGGCTTTCATTTTACACTTTGCTACATGTATTGCGTAAAAAGAGCCGAGGGTTGAGGAGAATAAAGGAATCGATATTTATTAAAATGCTGTTTATTCGCGCGTGGAAACGAAGAATATATATATATATATA